AAGCATGGTGCAAGGAGCCCTTTTGAAGAGCCGATTTAAACGCAAGGGAATAATATTTGAGCTCAATGGATGATGGGTAGTAACATAAATAATTTAAATTTATTATCGGGATCATGTTTAGAAACATAATTTGAATAGTCAGTAGATAAAGAGTCAATTTTGCAAATCAAAGAGTCAATTTTGCAAATCATAGGGATTGCATGTGAGCGACTAAATTTTGTTATTGGCAACAGCATAGAGAGCTGCATGCAAGTGGAAAAAACCATCAGTACGCACTTGCTGTGGGCGCTAATTGAAAGCTAGATGCAATAACAAATGCATGCACCAATGGAGATACAAATACATGACGATGAACTTGGATTTCTTAACTAGCCAAATCCTTAGCAACTATTTGTCACGTCAATGACCAAGCCAATTGGACGCAATCTTGTAGGATTAGAAAGAAATAATTTGCAACAAATTGATCAGGTGTTGAGCTTTTCCGTAACTTGATCAAGCTTACATTCAAAATCAATACTTGGCAACTTGCAAAGAGTGTTAGTTTTATTAAATTGAAATTGGAGCTATACAAAAAAGATAGATGGTAATTGTGGGATGACAGTTGCTTGGTGTTTAATCTTGAATAAAATATCCCCTGTTTATCTGAAATTCTTTGTTCTTTCTCTTTGTTTACTAGCTTTATAGCTATGATAGCTAGAGCATCGCATGTATCATGCTACAGCACAAGTGTCAACTTCACCTCTTAATTATACCAAAGATGTGTTAATTACTGATCATATTCTTTGGATGGCACGTGAATTATTTCCACGATGCAGTTTGGTTTACCTGGTGTCCCCATCCCCCATCTCACAGGCTCACACCCTTTGAGTCTGTGATGATGCGAAGCCTTATTTGTGGCGAGATATACACCGAGTCGCCAACTCAACTAAATACTGGGCTGATTAACATAACTATGACCATAAAATTTAATCCAGTTCAATTGTTTGATTGCTAGGTTAGGCATAACCTTGAATAGGAAGACAGCCGATATCTGCAGAAACTCGTGTGCTCAATGCGAGGTTAGGCATAACATGGTTCTTTGTTTAGTTTGTCACTTGATGAAGAAGTTGAGAAAACTTGAATATCAAAGCTATCTTGTGCTTGAATGTTTCCTTTCTATTTCCTTGCGTTATCAAATACAATTTCATGATGTTATGCTTTCATGGTCCAAGATTCAAACTAGCAGATACCCAATGCCACTGCTTTGCCATCTTAGCAGATTGTGCAAATCTCATCATTTCTTGCTATTGCACTACAGCAGTGTTAGGTTATCAGTACTACACGAAAGATTATATGTGTTTGTTGTGTAATTCAGTGCCACCAACAAGGTCCTATTTAGCGGCCAGGAATGAAGGGTGCACTCATTGTCTTTGAGAGACAGAGGCTGCAAAGTTTTATTTCCATGATTATAGGATAATATATTTTGATTCATGAGGTTTCAGTGACCTTCGAGCAAGACGAAACACTTGCTTAGTCTTAATGCAAGACACCTTTGTTTATTAATTAGCAGGAGATCCAATGAAAGCCGAGCTAGTCAAACTCTATGATGGCCACCATGCACCTTAATTCCTGGGTGATTGAGGTTCCACATCATACAAGTTCTTAGTTTATGTTAGCCGAACCTTGTAAACCTTCCAGAATTAGTAAGCCCAGCAGGGTCTAGTTTGGTTACTATACCCTAGACATCTAGCGTAGATGCGGTAACCCACATGGCTTCCATTTCTTTAAGCTATCTCGTTTGATGTGATTCTTAACTCACCTTTTCATCCTTCTTCCATTGTTGCTCGCATCTCGAGGGGTTAATAATTAATAAACTTAAATAGTAAATCAAAACTTTTGGGTTTAAAGTAAAGCGTCGCAGTGACGAGCTAGATGACGATTGCCGGGGGTAAATGTAACTTGTATTAGCAGATATCTTGATCTTAATCTTGTATTTCAAACCTTAATTTTGTAATATATAAAGCCAAACAACATCCTTCACGTAGCTCATTGTGTTCTTAAAGATTTTCTTAATCCTAGCATAATTGACGTAAAATCACACGAACCACATACTTAAGAATGATATTAACCACACACAGGATACAAGGACGAAACTTCCCCAGCTATCTGGGCTGCACAGACTCAAATGTAGGTGGCAAATGGTCAAAAATAATTCATGTCAACCAATCACATGGTTAAGATGGAGTAAGACCTACTTTCAGTTGTGATAAATATTTATTTTGAAAGTGTTTTTTATTTATAAATATATTAAAATAATATTTTTTATTTTAATACTAGTATATTAAAATATTTTAAAAATATTAAAAAAAGTTATGATTTTTAAAAGAAGACAACAAAAATAAACAATTCCTTTAAACTGTACTTTTAGAATGCAATAGAAAATCAATTCCTTTTGGTTTTTTTTTACTTTTTGCTTGTAAATATCTCACTACTTTACTCAGTTCAGATAAATATCATAATATTTTACGGTATAATAAGATTAAAAAAAAATGTGCTATGAAAAAAGGAAAAAGAATTAAAAAAAAAAAGATGCCACTTAGAAATTATGAATGGATGGGTTCTTCGTAGATTTCCTCTATATTTTCATGGGTTTCTTTTCTTTCTTTCTCTAATCTTATTCTTAACCATGGATTCATGGGGAGTTTTTCCGAAATTGGAAATGGATTCTTGCAGAGAGAAAAGTCAACCCGACCCCTTTGGTACACGTGTTGGTCCGACAAGAGATCATGGAGTGTGCTTTGTCGTGGCAGGTAGCCAACTGTCACAACGTAACACAATTGTAATAATAATAATCTAATCTGAAGTGGTAAGGACCCATTTCATTGGACCAATCACGTGAGAGGTTGGTGTCCCATACAAGGATCTGATAGGAGATATATCAGAGGCAGCTCAACTGATTCATGTATTCCTCGAAATGGGAGAAGAAGAATTAAAATAAAATGTTTGCATGTAAGTCCTCGTGATTGAAACTGGAAATTAGAGATGGTAATTGGATTCCATAATTAAGTTGCAAAGGGACACTAGGTTTCCTAGGATAGCCAAAGTATACGTGTAGAATTGCACAAGATTTGAAATGATTTAGTTTAAGTATAATAGATAGTTAGAACCTATGTATTTTAGGCCAAAATGTTGTTTTAAAAAATTTTAAATTTTATTATTTTTAAATTATTTTGATGTACTAATTTTAAAAATAAAAAATATAGATATATTTTTGAGAAAAAACCACTTTAAAATACGATTGTCAAAGCAAGCATGCATGATCTAAATGAGATTTTTGGTGCTTTACAAATGGGGGCAGGTAAGATTCAGGGTGTCGATTTGGTTATACAGTGAGAGGAGACATTACCACGAGGCTGACAGTGTTTTCTCTCCCAAATTGTTTCCCTTGCTAGTTTTCATCACCTTCTTATTATACTGATCTTGCCTCCACGATGCCAATGCTTTCGGTTCTTGATAGCTTACTTCATTTGTCTCTTACAAATCTTGCCATATTTTGTTCAAGAAGGTGTTCCCTTGAAAATAAACGAGAATATCTATGTATGCTAGCTAGCAAGATGTTTGTGCTTGCTTTCGGCTCTTTGGATGTTTGCTCATTATTTTACTATTTCATATATAAAATACTATCATTGGACTAATAAATGCCTAATAGTGCCGATTAATTTCACAAATTCTTGGGGCAAATACTGATATGGAACGTCCAATCCTGCTAAACAAATGGTGGCTTATAATCCGTACTAGTTGTAGGAATAAAAAGAAAGAGAAAGCACATCTACCTAGCTATATGTATACCTTATGTTATTGCATGCAAATATCAAGTAATTAACTCGGGGAAATGAATGGTAAGTTGGGGTGTTTATAAATATAGTTGGATTGGATTTGGTTTTATAATTATATTTAATTTAATTTAATTTTTGATATTTTGTAAAATATAAACATGATCTATTCCCAAAAAAAAAAATGGATTCAATGGGGTTGAATATATTATGCTGTGCTAATTTTTATATGAATATTACAAAGTTTCACATATTGAATTTATATTGCTAATTTTTATGGTTAAACTTTATTAAAAATAAAAATTAGCTAGAACCTATTATAAATTATAACAAATAATTTAGACTTAATACATTAACTAAATCAATTAACTAAAATGAAACAATCAATTATAAAAAAATTATCACAACAAATTAATTTTTTTGTTGTGAGGTATATAGGTTGATTAGGTTTCAAAAATCTCGATCTAGCATCTAATCTTTTATATTTATTTTTTAGTTTTTTTTATCAGCTATCATAAATAATAATTATATTATCTAACTTTGATGTATAAGGTGGGATACAATAATACAAATATTACAAATAACTGATTTTTTTAACACTCGTACTTCTAAGTGTGCTTTTCACCGCAATTATTAAGGATTTTCACAAACTCAAATGGCCTGGTAGATCAATGTAGAACTCAACTAACTTGGCTCATGACCAGGTTTAAAGAAATAATGACTTAATTTGACTTAATTAGTTATGTGATACATCTTTAATTTAATTTAATTTGAAATAGTCAAAACTTGATTTTATTTTAAAAAAAATTATTTTATTTATAAAAATATCTTGAAACGTGAATTGATACAGAATAAATTACTCTACAACTCGTGAACCAATTCTTGAAGCGGCTTATGGGATTTAATAACATTGTTTTTCACTGCAACATCTCCGTTAACTAATAATTCGATGACAGAACTCATGCCACGATGCTAATTTCAAAGGTTCTTTCAAGAAGAACGTCCTCTCACATGCGCTACAGGAAATAAAATAAAATAAAGCACAAAGTGTAATGCTAGAATACTAAAGAAATAAAAAAGAGAATGTCATTCGTATGCTTGTAGGGTATGGGTATATTAGTTGTATTATAAGAGAGAAAGGTGATGAACTGATTGCAACTAGGAGAGAAAACGACGACTGGATATAGCTACAGTGGCAAAAAGGCTGGTTTTGGGAACTTGAACCGAGAAAACTCTGCTCAAGGTTCGGCAATGAAATTCATCAAAAATCCCATCTTTGCTTAATTTGATCCTTTTAAAGCTGAATTCTCATTGAGTTTAAGGCTTCAGCTTCTTACAGACATCACTCTCCAGGTCCCAACTCCCACCACAGCACCTTTGCCCTCATATTTGTCGATCAAAAAGATCCCGGATTCACGAGCAGAAAGCAACTTAGAAGGTGCCATTTCTAGCTAGCTCAAAATGAAGGTGAGTCATTTGTTATTGAAGAGATCATAGAGAGAGGCCTCGGTTCAAAATCCATGATTTGAATTCGTCAAGTTTAGATATCTCGGGCTATATATATATATATATATAAAAACCTGCACACGCTTTGATGAGTGTTTTGATAAGAGATTTTATTTGGTTGATGGCAGCTATTCAGTTGGATGCAAAATAAGCTTAATGGAAAACAAGGGAACAACACCAAACCAAATGCAGTGATTTCAGCAACTCGTAAGCCTTGTTCTTCTTCGAACTCTCTCTTCTTCTTCTTTTCTATTTTTGTTTATTTCAGTATTTAGTTTGAGTGAGTTTGAGAAAAAGAGATCACAGGTCAAATTACGAGTAAAAACAACTATAAAAATGTGTGTATAAAAGAGATCACCTTTTTTGTTTTATTACAAAGAAAAGGGTCGGACCTCTTGAAGGAATGGAGACTTTGCCAGTTTTATCATTTCATTAATATGAAAGCAACACAGTCAATTTAGTCACATGCCGAAGAAGAAATGCGATTTATTTAGTCTACATATATTATATTCATAAATATAACATTTTTCTAATTTTAGATACAAGGATAGAAGTTATGGATTATATTAAAATAGTTATGATTAAATTATATATAAGTAATGTGTTGATGATAAACTCAGGTTAACAAGAGGATATGAAGATATCTATATTCAATATGATAAAAATAAAAATAAAAACATAAGTCAATAAATCATATCAAAATACAAAACATAAGTCAATAACTTTTTTATTGTTTCACAATATAACCCAGCAAATATTTTATTTGCGGTCAATTAATTCTGTTTTGTCTATTGGACAGGCCATGTGAAACAAGAGTCTCGGGAGGAATTTAGCGATTGGCCTCATGGGCTGCTAGCAATTGGAACATTTGGCAACAAAGAGCTCGGAGAAAGTAATGAAATCCAAGATGCTGAAGAGGACCAACTTGTTGAAGAGGACCCGTCTCCATCCCATGATTTACAAGATTTCACTCCCGAGGAAATTGGGAAATTGCAGAAAGAGTTGACAAAGCTTTTAACAAGAAAGCCAACTTCTCAAGATAAAGAAAAGGAAACTGCAAATCTTCCCTTGGATAGATTTCTTAATTGTCCATCGAGCTTGGAGGTAGATAGAAGGGTCAGTAATACAGCAATCGGTGATGTGGATGACAAAGAAGATGACATTGAGAGGACAATCAGTGTTATACTCGGTAGATGCAAAGACATTTGTGAAAATAATAAGAAGAAAGCTATTGGGAAGAAATCAGTCTCTTTCCTCCTCAAGAAGATTTTTGTTTGCAGGAGTGGGTTTGCTCCACAGCCAAGTTTGAGAGATACACTTCAAGAATCAAGAATGGAGAAGGTATGCCTTCTTCGTTCATTTTCCTGCGTGTCCATCGAACATTTTGCATTTTGTCATGATCATAAACATTTCTCCATGCCAAAACTATCAATCTCACCATAGTTTTTAGACTCCGTAAGTCCTGCTCTAGGGTGCCAAGGCTTGCCACATCAAGAATGCAAAGTTGAGACAAGGCCCGCTAAAATCAAAGCCTAGAAGAGTGCAATTCACATCCTTGTTGCCATAAATTAATTTGTACGATTTATTAATGTTATACTTGCGAACAGCTTTTGAGAACATTGCTTCACAAGAAGATTAACCCACAAAGTACCTCCCGGGCATCATCAATGAAGAAATATATCGAGGACAAAAAGATTTCAAAGAAGGAAAAGGAAGATGATGAAAAGCGATACAAGACAAGTGATGGATCTAAATGGGTGAAGACAGATTCAGAATGTAAGTTCATCTCTTCGTTGCTTGGGTGTCCAAACATATATATAAAATCAAGATCCAATTGACATATTAACGCGGTCTTGTTCGTTTATTGCAGATATTGTTTTAGAGATTTAATTAAATCTTCATCCCTTTTAAGCATTGATATCACAAGGTATATACAAGACGACCCTTTTCTCGATCTATTCATTTTTCCAGCTTTGCTGAAGCATTTAGTATTAGTATTTGCATCAAATCAAAGCTGGCCAAATATATTATACTCTAAAAGTACATATAGATATGTATGATTTTATCTTTAAGCATGCATATTCACTTATCAAGGCAAATTTGATTTCTGTCGTAGATGCTAAAAAGCTTTAATTACAGATTCAAACGTGGATTGAAGCAAGTGAGATGCTGAAATTATGCAGTAAAGAGCTAAAGGAATCAAGACCATAAAAGGCCATCAATAAACATATATCAAAGCTATATCGAGGGTGGATTCATGAGGACAAGACAAAAAAATTTTGATCAAGAAGGTCACTTGCTATATATTTTGTTGACGGTGCTTCCACGGAAGTTTGTTTTTTTCATGTTTGCATCTGTTGATTCAGGTCAGGGCAACACATGTTAACAGTACAAGGATGTCATTAGGAGCCTCCGCGCACCCGAAAAACAAGATAGAGCTAGACATTCTCTCCCTTTTTTTCAGTCCTATTTTACCACACCCTTTTTTGTTAGCTATGTTTGCTCTTGTAATATATATAATTTTGACGTAAATAATATAAAAACTGACAGGATATTATTATTATTATTATTATTATTATTATTATTTGACTTGTTTCAAATTATAATGGTGTATTGGAGAGTGTGGTTATAATTATTTTTTAAAATATTTTTTATTCAAAAAAAGTAGGTTAATAATTTTTTTTATTTTTTAAAAAATTAAAAAGTAGGTTAATAATTTTATTTTTTAAAAAAAAAATTATTTTTAAAATCAACACATCAAAATAATTTAAAAATTATTAAAAATATATTAATTTAAAATATAAAAAAAATAATTTTTTTCAAAACAATTTTTAAAATAAAATAACAAAAAGCCAACCATCAGATAAATTACTCTTATGTTTCAATTTGCCTCTGCCAGTGAAAGAAAACATAAGGTCTTATGCAGGCAGAAAACACATTGAGAGGCTTAGCACTTGGTGATAATTTCAAACTAATCAAGAAAAAAATTCTAAAAGCCCAAAAAATCATCTTCATGTATGTTGTCACCCATGTCACATCCTAGCTATTACTAAGATCATGGACTCGGGCATAGTAGTCTAAGTTTGTATTTGATGTGCATCACACTCACATAAATTTAAGTTATTATGTTTAAATTTAATATGATAAGCATGCGTCTTAATATTAACACTTCTGAAAATTTAAATTATTATATTCAAGTTCAATGTATTTGGATTTAAGTAGCACACCTGAGTTTATTTTTAACTTTTAATAGGCTTAAACATCTTATTCAAAATAAATATTTTTTTAAAAAAATTTTCAAGACTCCACGTGGGTATCTCAATATTTTATATTAATTTAATATGTATTATTTTAAATAGAATACAATTCAAAATATCACAATGGTAAAATTATATTTAGTCTCTTCTCTTCATAAAAAGACAAAATTTATGGGTTATAAATATATCATTAAATCTTCAAACTAATGATTTACAATCTCTTCATTCTTAAACATCTTTAGTATATATATTTTTATATTCTATCTCTTTAAATCATTATTGTACTTTTAAAAAAAATTATTTAAACATTTAAGAGTTCATAAATCTATAAAAAAAAAAAGATTTTTTTATAAGTATTGAATACTAGTTATTTTGACTTATCAGATATTATTAATTACCAACTACTTGAGCTTTTTATATTAAATTAGAAGATATATTTGCTATAAAAAAATAAACTAGATTACTTGAACTAAAAAAATAAAAATATTATTCAATATATAATTCTTATTTTTAAATTGCTTGGAAATTCTGTTACCTCGTGAGTTAGCACGTTTTGAGATGCCTTGTTTCAATGTCATTTAAAACATATTGTCATCGAAAGATCTAACGGCACCAGATAAAATGTATATACCCCATAGTCATCAAAATCATCGTTGAAGAAAATTATATATGATCGTATGCGAGCAATTTCTATAAAATCTATTTTTATTTAAATTTATGATATGAATATTTTAGAAAATTTCAACCATTTAATATATATATATATATATATAAGAAAATAAAAATATATAATTCATGATAATTTTGATGGAACAATATAAGAAAATAAAGGAATAACATAAAAAGGTAAAAAAAAAAAGTAAATATTCATGAGCAATTTTAAAAAATAAATAAATTATATTTATACAAAACATTTCATAAATTAATTGATAATATTACCATTAAAAGTTAAAATCTTATTTAAAAAGTAAAGTTTTTAATCATAAAAAAAGTTATTAATAATAATTACAAAACAAAGTAAAAAGGTTAATCTATCTTATAAAAAACAAAGATAGATACATATCTTAGTTATTCTTTTTATTGTATCTGCTTTATCATGGAGGTTAATTCTAATCACTAAGCACATATAATTTTTATTTTCATAAATATATTATGCAAATATAACTCTTTTATTTAAAATTTAAAAGGTAAATATTTTTTAAAATTTTTATGATAATTAAAATAAAAATTATAATGATTTAAATTTTAAAAAAATAAATTTCTCTTATCAAAACTTCTTTTTATTATTGAATATCTCAATAAAATTCTTATCATTGAATGGAACTCCTTGATATTAACACTAAAATTAAATTTTTTTATTATTATAATTGGTGTCAATCAATGATTTTCTTTCTCTTATACTAGAATCCAATAAATTTTTCTCTCATCCTTAATATAAAGATTGAAAACATAAAAAAAAAAATGAAATTTTAAACAAAAATTGAATTTTAAAAATTAAAGGAAATGAAAATGTATCTATTAAAAAGTAAAAGGATGAAAATTAATTTTTTTTTGTTATTTTTGAAGTTGTTATCTAATTTTTTACTTTGTGACATTGTCTTTGACAAATTAGAAGTAATTGGACATTAATTTTACAATAAAAAATCAAATTAAAGGGAAAGGAAGTTTAATAACTAAAATGAAAAAAAAATATTACTCCAATCCACAATCCACATGACTTATACACTGAAATAAAAATGAGATGCAAAATAAAATGCAAGTGAAAGGACCACACATTTTATTTTATTTTATTTTTGTTATTAATGTTCTACCTAACGAGCTTAATAGCATACACATGACTTATGATTGTGCGGGAGTCAAGTGCAGCTCGCAACAATTAGTATTATATATTAATGTAAAATAATGGTAAACATTAGGAAAAAAATAATGGTTTTTTTTTTCAAAAATAAACATTTGAATTATGAATCTGAGATTGATACTTGGTATATGATAGATTTTATGTTTGTGGTTTTAATTTAAAAAAAAATATTTTAATTGTTTTTAATAGATTTAAAAAATATATGTTTTGTTAAAATTATTATAAAATAATTTTTTATATGTAAAATAAATAAAAATTCAGGTTTTTATTAATGAAAAAAAAGTTATTCTAATTTCTACAAAATCCAATACAATGAGATCTACTGCAAAAAGTAAAAAATATTTAACTAAGTGCTTTTTAAAAATATTTTAAAAAAATTACACCAAAATCATTTATTTTTTAATTTTTTAATTTAATATCAACACATTAAAATTATCAAAACAATACACTAAAAAATACTAATTTAATTTTTTAAGGCAATTGCATTTTTAAAAGTATTAAAAATAAAAGTGATCACACTTTCAGCCTAGCTGAAATATGGGAGAGGAAGAACCTAACACTCAAAACAATAACATCTCCTCAGCCCTCGCATGGATCTTCAACTCCCATTCCTCTCACCATGTCTGCCTAGCTAAAATAAAAGCACAAGCATCCCCTTTAATGAACAATTTCCCACATTTATTTTTCTCTTACCTTCTCTTAAAAATTCCCTCTGTCTCTTGTTGATCTCTTTTGGTGGCGGTGCGATTGGATCTGATTGCCTTTCTTCTTACAAGCCCACCACTTTGCTCATTCAACCCGGAGGACAGAATTAATTCTCTGAAACTTCCCCTTCTCTTTGGTTTTTTCTTTTCTTGGATCCGGACAACAATATTCTATTGAAGGGCTTTCTTTCTTTTTTTCTCAAATAGTGCAGTTAGAATTTGGAATCTGAATTCTTGGGAAATTAAAGGGGCTCTTGTTCAATGAATCAGTTAGGGTGTTTCTTTTTGTTGGTGGGTTGATTGTAATTCATTTTGTTTCGGAGAGAGAGAATTGTTGTTGTGTCTGTGTGTGTGGTTAAAGGTAAGAAGGAGGAATTTGGAGGCAGCCAATGCCATGTTTTGTTGATTGGTATTTGAAGAATTTTTCGGTTATTTTTTGAGTACCGAAAAGCTTACAACTTAAGAGTAAATACCTTGAAAGTATTATCAAGCAATGTCTTGGGCAGGCCCAGAAGATATCCACCTCTCTACTTCTCTTGCCAACTATCTTGATAGTAAGTTCTTTCTCTTGCCCTCTCTCCGCTTGCAGTTTTCTTTGGATTGTTACTGTGCTTAAAGTTGGGACTTTGCAATAATTGCCTAAGAAATAAGACTTTTTTAGCGTGTAGGCATGCCAAAAGATTGGGAAAGGAGTGGGTTCTTGCAGTTTTGGTATTTTGTTCTTGGAATTGTCTGGATTTCGACTAAGTTTGTTGTTTATCTAGCAATACTATGCTACTTTGGTTTTTTATTTAATTCCATATTGAAATTTATAGCTGACTGCGTTTAATACTTTAAGTGGCTTGTGGTCTTGGTTCGGTTGAGCAGAGTTGTGAAAATGTATTTTCAGTAGTCTTGATTATTGCTTATAGTGTGATTCTGTTTCTTTAGTGCATTTTTTTGGGAGCATGCTTTCGGTATCTTGAGAGCTATTTTAGGACATGGATTTGTACTCTTTAACATGCAGTTAGGGAAAATGATTAGGGCTATCCTTTTCCCAATTGGAATTTGATGGGCATATCTCAGCGTGGCCTTATTGTGTCAGCCAGTGGCACTGTTTAGTTATTTCCTAAATTTTGGGTTCTATTTTCCCTTGTGCTTCTGTGCTCCTTGCTCGAGATTTTGGAAATTAACTGTTAATGAATGGGATAAAATTCTCTTGTTCTGAATAAAAGTAGGAGCTTTGTTTATTTGCTTTGGTGATTGTTGAGCTTTCCTCATATACATTTCCGAACCCACATACATCCATTCTCGTTTTAGGTTTTGCAATACAAAAGGTGGTTGTTTATGGAACCCAGCTTTGGAATATAATAATTTTTTTTCATTCAATTGATATTGATTTAAAAGACAGTGTTAAGATAAGGGATTATGGCTTATTTTAAAACAAAAAACAATGGGTTATGCGCAGATGCCAATGAACTAAAATGGCTTCATGGTCTTATATTACCCGATTTTCTTTTGTAGAGTTGTCTTGATGATTTCCTATTCTCTAAAATATTTCTTTCTGGTAGCCATGTTAAATATATGAATGAAATCGAGACATATAACTCTAAATATTCAGTGCTGAAAGTCTGCATGGAATTCAGATACAAATGGATTAATTGATGTGTTTTGGACTGTGGATTACTTTTCCTTTGTTCCTATTTGATTGGTGTCCCATGCTCTTGTTCATGCTTCAGAGAAG